CTGCGTGTGGGGGGTGGGGTGTGGGTGTGGTGGGTCCTGCGTGGGAGTGTGGGTGAGAGTTACACCGTCTACACTGAGCTCCAGGACAAGCCTGTTTCCGGGTGGGGGGCTCAGTCGCAGGCCTTGAAAGCCACTGTTCCAGGCCAGACACCCCGAGGCTCCCTGAGAGCGGAGGGGAGACACCCGCCACCCCCACTCCCCACCCTGGGGCCCCCAGCGGGGCAGGAGCAGGTGGACACCCCGACCCAGGCCCCGGCCCCGCCCACTTCCTGTGCCTCTGCCCATCCGCCCCCTCCCTGGCCCCAGTAGGTGCTCAGTTAACACCCGAAAGGCAACTGCTCTCTTCTCACTCCTGCTTGTCCGGCCTCCTCCTCCGTCCTTTCTGTCCTGGGATCCGAAGCCTTCCCACCCCCTCCCCCTCCCTCTCCCCGGTGTGGTGGGTCCTGCGTGGGAGTGTGGGGTGTGGGGTGTGGGTGTGGTGGGTCCTGCGTGGGAGTGTGGGGTGTGGGGTGTGGGTGTGGTGGGTCCTGCGTGGGAGTGTGGGGTGTGGGGTGTGGGTGTGGTGGGTCCTGCGTGGGAGTGTGGGGTGTGGGGTGTGGGTGTGGTGGGTCCTGCGTGGGAGTGTGGGGTGTGGGGTGTGGGTGTGGTGGGTCCTGCGTGGGAGTGTGGGGTGTGGGGTGTGGGTGTGGTGGGTCCTGCGTGGGAGTGTGGGGTGTGGGGTGTGGGTGTGGTGGGTCCTGCGTGGGAGTGTGGGGTGTGGGGTGTGGGTGTGGTGGGTCCTGCGTGGGAGTGTGGGGTGTGGGGTGTGGGTGTGGTGGGTCCTGCGTGGGAGTGTGGGGTGTGGGGTGTGGGTGTGGTGGGTCCTGCGTGGGAGTGTGGGGTGTGGGGTGTGGGTGTGGTGGGTCCTGCGTGGGAGTGTGGGGTGTGGGGTGTGGGTGTGGTGGGTCCTGCGTGGGAGTGTGGGGTGTGGGGTGTGGGTGTGGTGGGTCCTGCGTGGGAGTGTGGGGTGTGGGGTGTGGGTGTGGTGGGTCCTGCGTGGGAGTGTGGGGTGTGGGGTGTGGGTGTGGTGGGTCCTGCGTGGGAGTGTGGGGTGTGGGGTGTGGGTGTGGTGGGTCCTGCGTGGGAGTGTGGGGTGTGGGGTGTGGGTGTGGTGGGTCCTGCGTGGGAGTGTGGGGTGTGGGGTGTGGGTGTGGTGGGTCCTGCGTGGGAGTGTGGGGTGTGGGGTGTGGGTGTGGTGGGTCCTGCGTGGGAGTGTGGGGTGTGGGGTGTGGGTGTGGTGGGTCCTGCGTGGGAGTGTGGGGTGTGGGGTGTGGGTGTGGTGGGTCCTGCGTGGGAGTGTGGGGTGTGGGGTGTGGGTGTGGTGGGTCCTGCGTGGGAGTGTGGGGTGTGGGGTGTGGGTGTGGTGGGTCCTGCGTGGGAGTGTGGGGTGTGGGGTGTGGGTGTGGTGGGTCCTGCGTGGGAGTGTGGGGTGTGGGGTGTGGGTGTGGTGGGTCCTGCGTGGGAGTGTGGGGTGTGGGGTGTGGGTGTGGTGGGTCCTGCGTGGGAGTGTGGGGTGTGGGGTGTGGGTGTGGTGGGTCCTGCGTGGGAGTGTGGGGTGTGGGGTGTGGGTGTGGTGGGTCCTGCGTGGGAGTGTGGGGTGTGGGGTGTGGGTGTGGTGGGTCCTGCGTGGGAGTGTGGGGTGTGGGGTGTGGGTGTGGTGGGTCCTGCGTGGGAGTGTGGGGTGTGGGGTGTGGGTGTGGTGGGTCCTGCGTGGGAGTGTGGGGTGTGGGGTGTGGGTGTGGTGGGTCCTGCGTGGGAGTGTGGGGTGTGGGGTGTGGGTGTGGTGGGTCCTGCGTGGGAGTGTGGGGTGTGGGGTGTGGGTGTGGTGGGTCCTGCGTGGGAGTGTGGGGTGTGGGGTGTGGGTGTGGTGGGTCCTGCGTGGGAGTGTGGGGTGTGGGGTGTGGGTGTGGTGGGTCCTGCGTGGGAGTGTGGGGTGTGGGGTGTGGGTGTGGTGGGTCCTGCGTGGGAGTGTGGGGTGTGGGGTGTGGGTGTGGTGGGTCCTGCGTGGGAGTGTGGGGTGTGGGGTGTGGGTGTGGTGGGTCCTGCGTGGGAGTGTGGGGTGTGGGGTGTGGGTGTGGTGGGTCCTGCGTGGGAGTGTGGGGTGTGGGGTGTGGGTGTGGTGGGTCCTGCGTGGGAGTGTGGGGTGTGGGGTGTGGGTGTGGTGGGTCCTGCGTGGGAGTGTGGGGTGTGGGGTGTGGGTGTGGTGGGTCCTGCGTGGGAGTGTGGGGTGTGGGGTGTGGGTGTGGTGGGTCCTGCGTGGGAGTGTGGGGTGTGGGGTGTGGGTGTGGTGGGTCCTGCGTGGGAGTGTGGGGTGTGGGGTGTGGGTGTGGTGGGTCCTGCGTGGGAGTGTGGGGTGTGGGGTGTGGGTGTGGTGGGTCCTGCGTGGGAGTGTGGGGTGTGGGGTGTGGGTGTGGTGGGTCCTGCGTGGGAGTGTGGGGTGTGGGGTGTGGGTGTGGTGGGTCCTGCGTGGGAGTGTGGGGTGTGGGGTGTGGGTGTGGTGGGTCCTGCGTGGGAGTGTGGGGTGTGGGGTGTGGGTGTGGTGGGTCCTGCGTGGGAGTGTGGGGTGTGGGGTGTGGGTGTGGTGGGTCCTGCGTGGGAGTGTGGGGTGTGGGGTGTGGGTGTGGTGGGTCCTGCGTGGGAGTGTGGGGTGTGGGGTGTGGGTGTGGTGGGTCCTGCGTGGGAGTGTGGGGTGTGGGGTGTGGGTGTGGTGGGTCCTGCGTGGGAGTGTGGGGTGTGGGGTGTGGGTGTGGTGGGTCCTGCGTGGGAGTGTGGGGTGTGGGGTGTGGGTGTGGTGGGTCCTGCGTGGGAGTGTGGGGTGTGGGGTGTGGGTGTGGTGGGTCCTGCGTGGGAGTGTGGGGTGTGGGGTGTGGGTGTGGTGGGTCCTGCGTGGGAGTGTGGGGTGTGGGGTGTGGGTGTGGTGGGTCCTGCGTGGGAGTGTGGGGTGTGGGGTGTGGGTGTGGTGGGTCCTGCGTGGGAGTGTGGGGTGTGGGGTGTGGGTGTGGTGGGTCCTGCGTGGGAGTGTGGGGTGTGGGGTGTGGGTGTGGTGGGTCCTGCGTGGGAGTGTGGGGTGTGGGGTGTGGGTGTGGTGGGTCCTGCGTGGGAGTGTGGGGTGTGGGGTGTGGGTGTGGTGGGTCCTGCGTGGGAGTGTGGGGTGTGGGGTGTGGGTGTGGTGGGTCCTGCGTGGGAGTGTGGGGTGTGGGGTGTGGGTGTGGTGGGTCCTGCGTGGGAGTGTGGGGTGTGGGGTGTGGGTGTGGTGGGTCCTGCGTGGGAGTGTGGGGTGTGGGGTGTGGGTGTGGTGGGTCCTGCGTGGGAGTGTGGGGTGTGGGGTGTGGGTGTGGTGGGTCCTGCGTGGGAGTGTGGGGTGTGGGGTGTGGGTGTGGTGGGTCCTGCGTGGGAGTGTGGGGTGTGGGGTGTGGGTGTGGTGGGTCCTGCGTGGGAGTGTGGGGTGTGGGGTGTGGGTGTGGTGGGTCCTGCGTGGGAGTGTGGGGTGTGGGGTGTGGGTGTGGTGGGTCCTGCGTGGGAGTGTGGGGTGTGGGGTGTGGGTGTGGTGGGTCCTGCGTGGGAGTGTGGGGTGTGGGGTGTGGGTGTGGTGGGTCCTGCGTGGGAGTGTGGGGTGTGGGGTGTGGGTGTGGTGGGTCCTGCGTGGGAGTGTGGGGTGTGGGGTGTGGGTGTGGTGGGTCCTGCGTGGGAGTGTGGGGTGTGGGGTGTGGGTGTGGTGGGTCCTGCGTGGGAGTGTGGGGTGTGGGGTGTGGGTGTGGTGGGTCCTGCGTGGGAGTGTGGGGTGTGGGGTGTGGGTGTGGTGGGTCCTGCGTGGGAGTGTGGGGTGTGGGGTGTGGGTGTGGTGGGTCCTGCGTGGGAGTGTGGGGTGTGGGGTGTGGGTGTGGTGGGTCCTGCGTGGGAGTGTGGGGTGTGGGGTGTGGGTGTGGTGGGTCCTGCGTGGGAGTGTGGGGTGTGGGGTGTGGGTGTGGTGGGTCCTGCGTGGGAGTGTGGGGTGTGGGGTGTGGGTGTGGTGGGTCCTGCGTGGGAGTGTGGGGTGTGGGGTGTGGGTGTGGTGGGTCCTGCGTGGGAGTGTGGGGTGTGGGGTGTGGGTGTGGTGGGTCCTGCGTGGGAGTGTGGGGTGTGGGGTGTGGGTGTGGTGGGTCCTGCGTGGGAGTGTGGGGTGTGGGGTGTGGGTGTGGTGGGTCCTGCGTGGGAGTGTGGGGTGTGGGGTGTGGGTGTGGTGGGTCCTGCGTGGGAGTGTGGGGTGTGGGGTGTGGGTGTGGTGGGTCCTGCGTGGGAGTGTGGGGTGTGGGGTGTGGGTGTGGTGGGTCCTGCGTGGGAGTGTGGGGTGTGGGGTGTGGGTGTGGTGGGTCCTGCGTGGGAGTGTGGGGTGTGGGGTGTGGGTGTGGTGGGTCCTGCGTGGGAGTGTGGGGTGTGGGGTGTGGGTGTGGTGGGTCCTGCGTGGGAGTGTGGGGTGTGGGGTGTGGGTGTGGTGGGTCCTGCGTGGGAGTGTGGGGTGTGGGGTGTGGGTGTGGTGGGTCCTGCGTGGGAGTGTGGGGTGTGG